CGACTGTTAGATAGGGTGGAATCAAAGGCATTTCGTCTTATTAACGCTCTTCCTTTAGTTGATAATCTTTCTTCCCTTTCTCTTCGCCACAATGTTGCTTCACTCTCTCTCTCTTACAGGTACTTTAACGGGCAATGTTTGGTGGATGTGACATCCTGTGTACTGCCGGCAAGGCCGTGGGCGCATAACACTCATCTTGCCTACGGTGCCCACCGTTTCTCTGTGGATGTCAATCACACTAGAATAATCCGTTATAGTACATCCTTCTCTCCTCACACAGCCAAACTGTGGAATTCTCTGCCTTCTTCCGTGTTTCTATACCCTGCAATCTGTCTCACTTCAAAAGCTGGTTTTCCGGCATCTTCGTGGTGTGGATTAATATAATCTTTTTCTTTTCTATTTTTAATATCTTTTTACTCTTTATTTTTTATTTATTTTTTTTATTTATTTTTTTTGTCCCCCCTCCCCCATGCCCCATTGTGGGTCGATGACCTGTGCCCAGGTGGGCTATTCCCCATTAAAAAAATAAAAAATAAATAAAAATAATCAGTCTCACAAGTAAAACTTGTAAACTATTACCTCAACAATCTACCAAACACATCTTTGTATTATTTTGGATCTTTCCTCTATAATATTTTGGCGAACTGAAAATTACATTACATCTTTCTATCACCAAAAAATTGTGTTCTTTATTGTACTTGAGGCTACGAGAGGATGTTTGCAGAAATGCAGTGCTAGATAATTTGTGAGAAGCATGATGGAGAGATGAAAAGTCTTCAGAGTTGAAGGTAAACATCATAGGGGTACACGCCGGTGTCTTAAAATATATACTGTATTACCCCGCTTTATGCGAGGTTTTTTTTACGCGTTTCCACGTTTACGCTGTACCCTGCCAGACCCGGAATGCTCACTTTACGCGGTGCATGTACTCTTTTACGCAGAGAGCGGCGCGGGCAGGGTGCTCACAAGGTCGCCCAGTCATCAAAACATTACCGAGTTCTTCACCCGCCACCGACCACAGGCGGCCCAAGTCAGTGTTAGTGATAGTGAGGATATGGACTTATATGGACTTTGAGGGGTTTGACAAAGAGGCCCTGCACGCCTCTGTGGTGGATAGTGATACAATTGATACAGGTGAGGGCCAATAATCTGCCCTCTGCCTCGGAACCAACCCTCCATCCCTGTGTGCCCAGCCATCTTTTCTACTAATGTAAGTGTTAAAAAACCTAATATTATTGATATTTCTCTTAATTATTAATTGTGTGTGCATACCATCATAAAATTAAGAAGTTATTTTTACTACAACGTAGGTATTGTGTCTGAAAAAGTGGAGTTTGATGGTCGGCCCGGTCTCTATTTCAATTAATCCCATATGTTATGTTGTTCACTTTACGCGTTTCTCGCTTTACGCGGGCCTCCGTGGGTTCAATTGACCGCGAAAAGCGAGGGTTCACTGTATATATATTTCCGTCGGAAGTGGTTATTAGGACATTTGAATATATGTTTTCTGTATTTTCTCATTTTAATTTACATATACGTATTGTATTTCAGATACTTTTCTATTCATATATAACTAGTTAGAACTTTCAGGATGTCTTCAGGGGCCTACCCACACACAAAGACTTATACCCTGTACCGAAATGTTCCAATAACAATTCAGATTACTAAATAGTGACCTGAACCAAATCACGTATATTTGGTATTACAAAATTAATTACGGGTTTAGAGGACACCTCAGGGATAATTATAAGTAACCCAAATTTAAAAGAAAAAAAAATTGACTTTTCATGCCAGTTGCCTACATTTCTTCTTGCTGTCATTAAAGGCAGCAACTTCCTAAACTTCCTCCATCAACTTCTAACTTTTATAAGTGACTAGCTTCAGCATCACCTCCTGATAGTAGAACTCGTTGGCACAATCCAGGGATGCATCCCTAATGAAGATTTTCTCCAGGTTTGCTAAGACCACATGATTACTTGCACAATAAGGAACACCTAAAGCAGCAACATCCTTCAGTGAAATTTGATATCCTGTGTAGCTCTTCTCTTAAGCACATCATTTCTGTCACTTCTAATATGCTCCTTCATCTTGTATTCACAGTCCGTGGTTCACATTTATAGCACAGATTCAACAGTTTACTTCTATGTCCGCTTCTTTGCCTCCTTTGATGTGGCTCCCAAACACTCTCTCCATGTATTCTTTAGTCCACTTCTTGTTATTGATTTCTGATGTTGTTTTTCAACATCATTCTTGGAAAATATAATACGAAAATGAATTAAGCAATATATCCCAGCAACAGACTGTAAAGTAATTGAGAAAAGAGGATTCAATCCATAGCAGTGTGTGGGGTTATGTAACAAGATGCTGGGTCAAATTATAGGACGTTCTGTAAAGTGTGACTGATAAGAATTGTGGCTGGATGAAGTAGATTGAGTGATAAAGGAAAAATGAAGTCTCCATGACCAGTAAGATGGATAGTGACGAGGAAGAGTACCTGGAGACCAAGGTATATACAGATGTGTGGAATAGTATGGATGCTTGAGTTGAAGTGTACCAAATAACAAGGCAAATATAGGGTAGAAACAAGGATGTTGGTGAGCAGAGTGTGAGAAATGAGTATGGCAATGTGGTTGTTGATATTGAGGAAATCAAAGATGCGTTGAAAAATATAATCATTTGTTGAAAGAGAAGTTTGAATGGAACCAGGGCATCCTTGAAACAGCAGAGCCACTTCAGGGACCATGCCAATTTTGAATGAAAATGGGTGAAGAAAGCTATTAACAAAATGAAGAATAGAAAGGCCGTTGGTGGCTCTGGAATTGTTGCATAGGTGTTGAAAGCATTAGATGATAATGGCATGCTGATGGTAACTGAATTAATTAATGCACTAATGATGGAATGTATTGTCCTAGTTGACTGACTGAAAAGCATGATTGCGAATACTTACATGGGAAATGGTGATGCACTTAATTAAACCCCAAAAATACAGGGACCTGAAGTTTTTAAAAACACTTTGTGGAAAGTGTGATTAAGAAATTGATAATGGAGAGAATGGGCATAATTGAAATGCAGTTTGGGTTCTTGCCAGTCAGGGGGACAACAGAGACAATATTTATGACCAGGTAACTACAAAAGAAATCTACTGTATTGGGATGGAGAGCAAGCTGTATTTGTGGGCTCAGAGAAGGCATTGGACATGTGAGAAAGTTACGGGTCAAGAAATGTCTTATTTGAGTGGTTCTGACATTATATGAGGGCTCAATAACCTCTGTGAGAGTAAATGGTGAGAAAAGTGAGGAACTAGATGTTTAAGTTGGAGTTCATGAGTCTTTCTTGGGCCCCCTTCTGTTTATCATGGTATTAGGGGCAATAGTGAAGGATTTTATGACTGATCTTCCTTGGGAGTTGTTGTATGCTGATGATTTTAGTGTTGACAGTAGACAGTACTGAGGATGTGGAAAATTTGAAGACATAGAATGATGGAATGGCATCAAAGAACATGATTAGTGACTTGAGCATATACAGTGGAAAGTGGCCAACTGCCTTCTGTAAGAAAGGTGGTGGTACCAACTCAGTAATGTGAAAGGTGGGTACACAAGAGGTGCAGTGGTGTAAATGGCAGGTTGTTGTCAACCTTAAGGGCACTGTATGTGTAGGTAATTATGTGGGCTAAGCAAGACTGGAGAAACACTACCTAGGTGACATGATCAGTGCTGGAGATGGTGCTGATGCTGGCTCATTTGTAAAAGTCAGGAGTTGCTGGAAGACGTTTAGGGAGCTGCTACCTTTATTGACAGGAAGAGGACCCTTTCTTCATGTGAATGGATAGATGTAGGCAACTGGTGTGAGAAGTATAGTGTTGTATCGCAAGGAAAGAGCTGAAATAAGCATGTTGAGATGGATTTGTAATGTGACACTGAAAGATAGGAAACTCTGTTCAGAGCTAAGAGTAAGAACCCAAAGAAAGCAGGTTACCCACTTGCGGGTTACCAGTGCCAACCGGCGCTGACAAGCATCTTGAATGTGACCATGCTATCAAGCGCCGCTGCACGCAGCAGAAGCATGTCGAAGTCTGTCGGCATGTGGTTGTCCATGCTGACAAGTTTCCCGGAATGAGCAAAACATTCTCTTATCACTTGCCCGCAGGGGTGGACATGTTGTTGAGGCGGTGCTAGTTGTGCGAAGTGTTTTTTTTTTTTTTATTTTGTCACGGTGGAAATAGAAGTTTTGATCGCCTGTGTATTGTATTGAAAAAACCTGTTATTGATTTGATGTATTCCAGTTCTTTTCCTCCTGATTTTTGCATAAGCACCATCGAGCCAAAGAAAATCTTCTTCAGATGACGAACTATACAGCTTTACTGTACGACAGCTGGACCATAACTCGCAGATATACCTGCGTCCTCTGTGTCCGCCGGCAAGCGGGTAACCTGCTTTCCTTGTGGTCATACCCTAAGACTGCAGTTGGGTATTGAGATTTTTGGAGGGTTTTGCATAGAGATAATCTGAGATGGTTTGGGCATGTGAAGACAATAGGGGAGACCAACTGAGTCAAAATATGCATGAGTTTGAATTTGGAGGGAAGGACAACAATGGTAGGCCTTAAATAACATGGGGAGGGTGTGAGAAATGACCTCAGAGAGAACAACCTAATGAGAGAGACTGCAAGAGACCACACAACATGGAGAGCTGCCATCAGGTAATCATGGAAAATGAAACTTATTAGTTAATGAGGAAATAATGCTTTCTTCATTAATTTAAATTCAACATAAGTTGGAGATGAATACTGGTGTCTTTCTTCTTCATTTAATTTGTTATTTACTATTTTAGTTATCGTATTATCACTGTATTTCATACCTTGTAATATTTTATAGATTTACATCTTTTTATAGGCTTTATGCTCCAGATGTGTAGAAAGGAAAGGCAATAATGATTATGGTTGTTTTGTATTCATTTTCTTTTTAATTTTATACTTTCTAACTGAATGCCATCCTTTTACAGACTTAAAATGCTGTGGGTAACACTGTGCCAGTTCCATAACTTTTGTGAATTGGAATACTTACCTGTGTACACTCCTAGTGAGGAGGAGAAGCAAGATGCCAAGCTGTTTGCCAGCAATGTTCGACAAGTCATGGCCGAGTGAGTATTAGATTAGTGTCTTGTAATTTATAGTACTGTTATATACCGTATATACTCGTCTATAACCCCCCTTCGTATATAGGTCGACCCCGATTTTTTGACCAAGAAATTGTTAATTTATGATATTCCTCGTTTATAGGTCGACCCAAGCTTTTGAGGGTAAAGGAACAACAAAACCTTCAGAGAAACACTACGTCCTATAAACTTGTTTACCATTTATTATTACGACACTTTACACTGAAACACGGGTAGTTTCAACAAAAATATTGTATATTTCCATTCAAGTATTTATTCAAGTCAATTAGGAGGGAATATTATTGTAATACAATAGTTTTTTAACTGAAAACCATTCGAAAAGCGATTACGGTAACATATTTTGAACGAAAGAAAGCAAAAGTCATTGTTTTCGTCACAATTTTATCCCACTTTCCACTGTAATACGTACGTCATTTCAGCAAAAAATATTACATTTCCGTGAATGTATTGTATCAAGCACAGTATGAATAGAATATCACTAATATAACAGTATTTTAACCGAAAACTAATAAAAAAACGAGTAACATATCTTGAACATCGGAAGGTTTGGTAAAGTCTTTTGTTTTCATGTAGTTTATCCTAATTTACATTGAAATACATCACGTTTCAGCAAAACTACTATTTATTTCTGAGAATATGGAAATGTAATATTTTTGCTGAAATGACGTACGTATTATAGTGGAAAGTGGGATAAAATCGTGACAAAAACAATGACTTTCGCTTTCTTTCGTTGAAAAGATGTTACCGTAATCGCCTTTCGAATGGTTTTCAGTTAAAAACTGTTGTATTACAATAATATTCTATCCTAATTCACTTGTGATGTAACAGTTTTTTAACTGAAAACGATTCGAAAAACACGTGTACCGTCTAGCTGATACGGCAGAGCCCTGGTCGCGGAGGCTTTGTGTTTGCTTCGGCCCTTCTTAAGCAGCTTTTAATTTTAGCGTACGTTGAAATTGTGTTTACCGGTATATTCTATTTTCTTGCTTCTTATTTTCCAGAAATATGACAAGTTTGTATATAATACAATGTTACGGTACTTTTAATTTACAAGTATTCATTTTTAAAAATACAGAAGACACCAAACAAATACCAGTACTACGGTTATTTGCGTGACTCTCCCGCCAAAAAAGACCAAACAGCTGGTACTCTCCCTCAGCCCTACCAAAAATAGCCCAACGACATCTTTCTTAATTATTCTCTTCCAATTTCTCACTTTAACTGGTATTTTTTACTTCATATTGCCTACATCAGATAAACTACAGTAATTGAGGTTAGACACTGTTATAAATTTGATTACCGGGTCCTGGCAGGTGCCGTTAGAACCACCTGACCCTACCAACAGTGTTGCAAGTCAGACAGCATTTTTTTAATCATCCATGTGCACGAGAAAGGATGGATGGATGAAGGCGGCATACAAACATGGCTTAAAAAAGTCTGAACTTTAGACCAGGGGGACTACGCAAAGAAAAAAGTCTTCTTGTGTGGGATATGTTTCGGTCACATCTTGTTGACAGTGTTACTGCTGGGATTAGGAAGGAAAACACTGATACAGCTGTGATTCCTGGTGGATTAACAAGTCTTGTCCAACCACTGGATGTTTCCTTAAACAAACCATTTAAAGATGCGGTAAGAGTGAAGTGGAACAACTGGATGATAGAAGGCGATAAGACATACACAAAGGGAGGCAACATCCAAGCTCCATCACTAGCAACATTATGTGAATGGATTGTAGAGGCCTGGGATGCAATCAGACCAGAAATTGTGGTGAAATCTTTTAAGAAATGTGGGATTTCGAATGCTCTTGATGGAACAGAAGACGACTTGTTGTGGGATTATGAGGCTAATGAGAGCGTGAATGAGGATGAAGATATTGATGATCCTATGGCTGATGATGGTGTTGATCCATATGACGATGCTGTTCAAGGAGAGGACTGGGAGGAGCTGTTTGGTGCTGCAGATGATGACAAGGAAAATGATTTTGATGGATTTTAATGAAAATATTCAGAAATATGGTATCGTAGTATTTATTCAAGTCAATTAGGATAGAATATTATTGTAATACAACAGTTTTTAACTGAAAACCATTCGAAAAGCGATTACGGCAAAATCTTTTGAACGACGAAAGAAAGTGAAAGTCATTGTTTTCGTCACAATTTTATCCCACTTTCCACTGTAATACGTACGTCATTTCAGCAAAAATATTACATTTCCATATTTATTTCTGAGAATATATTCATTCAGGCACAGTTAAGGTAAAATATACTTGTGATGTAATATTTTAATGAAAATATTTATAAATAAGGTATCGTATTTTTCTTTTGTTTCAAATTTAATTAACAAAGATTGATGTTTCAAATTTAATTAAAAAAAATTTATGTATCCATAAATAAACTTTTAAAAATGAATACTTTATGTTTTACATACTCCTGTGCATACCATACCATGCATTTGGCTACTTTTGGCTTGCTATGATGACGCAAGAGATCTGCCCTGGCAACTGTACCGACACTCACAGTGGGTGGTGAGTTGGTGCGTCGTTTCCATTGTTTACTGGTAGTTACTGGTAAATATTTTTCAACCTAACGAAACTATTACCCGTAGACAATCAAGTTCAGTCTCTCCTTGACTTACGACAACCCGAACATACGACGGTCATGTTCGTATAAAATATTTTTCACATTACGTATTTTCGAGTCCCGACGTTAGTGATCGCGCTGTTTACTGACAAAATTTTCATTTGTAATTCCCTTTAAAATGGCTGGCAAGCGTAAAAGTGAGAGTTCTCGTGGTGCTGAGAAGAAAAAGAGACACCCATTTTAGAATTTCTATGTATTATTTTTGCCTTTTCGACTTACGACCTGGTCGTCGGGACAGAACCCCGTCATAAGTCGTGGAGAGACTACAGTATTGCAAAATTTTTGTACATAAAGTACAGTGATACCCTGCTTATCGCGGTTTCGCTTAGCGCGATTTCACGTATACGTGGTGCCTTGCCAGAGCCGAACTTTCACTTAACACGGGTTTTTTCCACGTATACGCGCAGAGTGTCCGGCTCGAGACGCTATTTTTAGATTCGCCCCATCCACCACCCTCCTGCCTGCCTGTTTTAGCTCATAAAATTCATACAAATTACCCGGCCAGAATATAATTTACATTGCTGGAATCCTTACAATATGATGATCTTTTTGAATATAAACATCATAGATTTTGCATTAGACATACAAATTTTAGATATAATGTTTACTCTGAGTAAATATGTTATTTTTTGTGCAAAATATATGACATTTGTATTCAAAATATTCCTGGTCTTACAAGGAATCCAGCAATGTCAATTATATTATCCTAACTTTAGTTTGAGGTATTATTTATTATAATTTAATGGTTTTCCCCCAAAATTTCTCAGAGAGGGAAGAGCCAGGGAGTGTAGTGTGAGAAGAGGGGGAGGGAGTTGAGTCCATTATTTGAATGGACATTAACTTGGCGACTGTATTTCTCTATTTCTCTTAAGTATTAGTTGTGTGCATGTACCATCATAAAATTAAGATGTTATTTTTACTAGAACATAGGTATTGTGTCGGAAAAAGTAGAGTTTGGGGTTCTGGCCAGTCTCTATTGGAATTAATCCCATATGTTCTGTTGTTCACTTCACGCGGTTTTCACTTAACACGGTACCCTGTGGGTTCAATTGACCGCGTTAAGCGGGGTATTACTGTATTTAATTTGATGGTACAGGTACTCCACTAGTTTTCTTTGTTAAAAAGTACAGTACTGTAATGTACTAAGATTATCTTAAGTGTGTTTAGGAGTAAATCAGATTTTGGGTGGCATTTAGAATTGTAGAACCTCGATAAATCTGATAAAGGGAATCTATGGGGCAGGGGTGGAGATAACAGTGTTCCTCTGAACTGTTTAAAGAAAATCTGTTGTTTATATTATGCATGACAAAGTTATTAAAGCAATATTTTTCAACAATAAAAATATGAAACAGAACTCTCTGGGTTAAGAATCAGACATAAATCTGGTTGTCAACAACTGTTTTCACCGAGATGATTATTACGTACTGTAAATGTTATATGTAAGTAACCCCAGAATTTGTCTCGTGAATAAAGAGAAAAATGTATACTGTACAGTACTATAAATATAAAAACTAGAAAAAATAATTGTAGGGGTATATTGTGTAGAGATGAGAGTAATCTGGGAGCAGGAGGGGGGGGGACAGGTAGCATGGGTGGGTGGCTTCTTCATCCAAGATCTCTTTAACATATCTTTATGCAATTTCACCATATTTTTCATATAATTTAGGTTCATTTAGTGCTGGGATGATAAAATATTATCAGTTTTCCTGAAAAAGAATCCCTCACTCAACACCATGAGTCAAATGTTTACAAAAGGCAAACAACTGTCAGCTTTTTCACCACTCATGCTTACTATAACATCCGTCTTCAACACTTAGTAAAGTACGGTAGTGTATTTATCATCAAGTAATAAATAATATTTTCATGCATTTATCAGCACTTAATAGGTAATATTATAGTGTACAGTATTTTGCTGCAGTAATCTCTTGTCTAAGTGTACAAGAAGTCAAATTGAGTCATCATATATCACTCAAAGGTAATAAATAATGTTGTTAGGAAGATATATTTATATCAAACACTATACAGTGTGTTATAATGACCCTATTGTAAGGTGGTTTTCAGAAAGCTCTCGCACGAATGCATCCTGGCTGAATACCTTCCAATACAGCTTATCCTTTTATTTTCAAGCCTAATTACAAATAACATATTGTATTTTCTTCTCTATTTTTGAAGATGTTATATTAATCATGAAGAACCATACGCCATAAAAGGCTGATCATATGAGAATATAATACTGAATCAATAAATAAATCTGAAGAATGTGGCAATCCCCAATCAGGCCACCACCCCCAGCCTGCTTACGTACACAGTTTCTTAGCTCTCATT